TCTTGCCCTGAGAGATCCTAACAAGAACATACTACAGCTAAATTGGTGGTTGTGCACGTCAACCACATTTGTGCTGCACTTGGATATATCTAATCACAATCTACAACTGTGTGCCAAGTTTAGTGGGCATGAGTTTAAGTAAATAAAGTCGGGAGACTTAGTGGGTGACCCCATCCTTATTGTGACAGGTTGGATCACAGGTGTCCCCATGGGATTGTCACCCAGTGCGCTTGTTGTGCCACTGAACCCCCCTCCAGCCCTCAGTTGCACCCCACCCCCTGCAAAGCAAACAGAGACACTGAACCAGCTCATTTCTGGGAGGACATAGCTATAAGGCTGTTGATAGCATAGCCCCAACAGGCCCACACCCTCAAATAAATCTGTTTTATTCTGTTTTATAAAAGTTTTACAGAGAGAAAGCTTGTAAGTTCACTCTCTTTATCAATAAAAAAGAGAGATGCAGAGTGATTGCTCCCCCATAACAATTATTTATACTGAGCTTGATAATAAACAAAAGTGTTTTAAGTATAAAAAGTAGCATTTAAGTAAAAAGAGATCAAAGTCAATTGGTAAGCCAAAATAAACAACACATGCCAACTAATCCTAATGCACAAAGAAACATGTTATGTGCAAAATATATTCCTCACCCATTATCCCTGTTTTAGGTAAAAAGCTTCAAGGCAGAGTTGAGTTTTTACTCTGGCCTGGGTGTGCAGCTCTGTGCTTTTAGAATTCTTTGTTTTCAGGTTTCTTTGTGTGTGTCTTCTTAATTTCAAAAGTCAGCTGAATACAAAAGCCTGATTGCTTTCCATTTCTTAAACAGACATTTTCCAGAGTGGGAAACCTTTGTTTTGTCTCCTCATCCCTATGAAAAAAACACCAGATTAAAGATGGATTCTAGTACCAGGTGGTATGGTAACATGTCTTTCCAGGACCAATCACAGTTTGGGCTTACAAGAAAAACAAAACCATTCACAAATCCTTAATGTAATCATTGAGTCATTAAAATCCTAAAGTGTCAGTCATGGCTTTTACTAGAAGACCTGGACTAATAAAACAGGGTCCCACTTAATATTTCTGACTTCACATACAAGACTGATACATGCACATAAACAGAGTTGAAACATTCAGGGGCTCATAAGTTAAATGACTTGTTTTGCATAAACAAAAAACAGGACTATGTAGCACTTTCAAGACTAACAAGGTGGTTTATTAGGTGATGAGCTTTCGTGGGCCAGACCCACTTCCTCAGATCAAATAGTGGAAGATAATTGTCACAACCATATCAATCAAAGAATACAATTTAAAAAATGAACACATAAAAAAAGGACAAATCAAATTTCAGAACAGAAGGGGAATCGGGGGTGGGGTGGGAGGGAAGGTAAATGTCTGTGAGTTAATGATATTAGAGGTGATAATCAGGGAAGCTATCTTTGTAATGAGTAAGATAATTAATGTCTTTGTTTAGACCGAGATGTAAAGTGTCGAATTTAAGCATGAATGACAGTTCAGAGGATTCTCTTTCAAGTGTAGTCTTAAAAGGTCTTTGTTTTGCATAAGGCATCTTTGAGCTATGCATATTTATAAGCCAATTTTCATAAAGAGTGGAGGGTGACAGGTAATATCCCCAATCCAATGGACCATTGGCAAACAGTATCAAAACAATCAAGTGCCTACTGAAAAAAGCTGTAGAGTCAGACTCCGATCCTACGTAGAGCTGTTTAATTACAGAATGACACCATTGTAGCACAGGCTGTCACCTTGCTGCTACTTTGTTCAAGGGGAAATTGAAAACAAGAATCCCTGCCCTGCTAGAAACTGATGTTAGAGAAGCATAGAGAGAAACAAGGCAATTTTTTTAAAATCACTATAATTTGGCGGGGGGCCTAAGGGCTGTGACCACATCATGAAAATGGAAGAATACAATGGTCATAGACAGGAGTGACTTTCTCTTCCCTCATGGGCACATACGAAAGAGGAATAGGTGACACTGTCTGCAAATTTTAGAAGGGAAGGAAAAAACATGCTATTGAGTTATCATTGGCATCATGATGCAAAGCTGATTGAAGAGACTGAGGCCTTGTCTATAGTAGATCAGACAGAGCAGCTAAAGATACACCATCCAACTACGTAAAATGTGTGGCTGGATTTGGATTACTTTAAGCTGAGTCGCCGCCATGTCCACAATGCAGGGGGCTGATGATGGGAGCACACACTCCCACTGGTTCCCCTTCCTCCTCTCAGAAGGAGGAGTACAGGACGCCAGCAGAGGTTGTCCTCGGTGTTCAATTTATGGGACCAGACTAGACCTGCTAAATCAAATGCAAGAAGATTAAGGAGGAGGGTCCATCTTCTCTGTAGTGTAGACATGCCCTGAGAGTCCAGGAGGCAAGGTACTGCACACACAAGCTGAGAAAAGCAGCCATGGCCCCCAAAATCTTGTCATCTAACTTATGGTTAGACACAGAAAGTGAGGGAGATAAATATGGAACTGCTGTTGCTAGCGCTACCTCCCCTTTCTTTCTCTCTTCTTCTCAAGTGTCTGACTGGATGTGGGGGCAAGGAAATAGAAAGCAAAAGCCAACCTCTGGCCTGCTCTACATTACATGGGAAGGTCGAAGTAAGACATGCAATTCCAGCTAAGTTACGTAGCTGGAGTTGATGTATCTTAAATCCCATCCACTGTAAGTTACGTAGCTGAAGTTGATGTATCTTAAATCCCACCCACCCAGTGGGAGCTCAATGGGAGCAAACCATAGGAGAACCAGAGCTAACGGGCGCACCCTTTGAAATCGATTTAGTGGGTCTATACCACGCCCACTAAATGGAAACCTGGAAGATCAACTGCGGCAACTTCAATCTTCCGTGTGGACGTCCCTTGCTGAAGCAACATATTACTCTTGATTCCTAGAAAATAACATGTCCTGATTACGCCAAACCATTTACTAAGAATTAGTGAAAAGTAACAATGAAAGGAGAAATATTTCTTCCCCTCCTTGGTTTTAAGAACTATTTCTACAGCAGGCACCCAGTGAGTGTGAAACTAAGGCCCTCACCTCCCTGCTCCCCAACTCTCTGCCCCATCTCTGAACTCCTTCCTGTATCCCGAATCCTTCATCACCAGCCCCACCCCTGAGCCTTCACTCTAACCAGGACCTTCATGCTCTACAGCTCAGCCCTCTTCCCCAGCCCTGAGCCCACTCCCACACTGCAAACCTCTCAGCTCCAGCCCCAACACATCCTGTCCAGGTGCGGGATGAATTTTGTTATGTTCACTAATATGGATGTGAACCAAGCGGGATTCTTGGGTGAGTTATCCTACACCTTTACCCTCTATTTTTCTTTTACCTCCTCTTTATTATTTAAATCAGGGGTGGGGAACCTTTTTTGGGTTAGGGGCAACTGACCCACAGAAAAATCAGTGGGGGACCACACACAAGTGAGAATACAAAAAATCCTCACTGATGTGGCCCCTGACTGAGAAGGAGACAGACACTCCCCTTATTCCCCTTGCACACCAGAGTCGAGGAGTGCCCAGCCCAGTAGATTTTGTGTGCTCCAGCCCCATGGCGGGGCAGTGCAGGGTGAGAGCTGGGGCGCCAGCACTGGCTCCCCATTGCAAGGGAGAGGGTCTGAGCCTTGGGGGCCTCAACTGACTCCCGGGCCCAAGATTCCCCACTGCTGATTTAAAGTCTCAGTCAAAGCTCACAGAAGTCACTGGGAGGCCCAGGGTCTATCTAGTAAAAAGAAGTCCTTGCCCCCACAGATCTACAGTTTAGCTTTTGGGGCGATACAGCCAGTGATGCAACAAAGGAGGGAGAGGAAGAGAGGGAATTGCTTCCCTTTTCCTTCAGTGGTCTTTCCAAGAGTTTGAGCGGGGCAGTGGCAGGAAGGAGATACGGAGCAAGGAGCTGGAAGCATGTTACTACTGATTTCAAGAAAGCAATGTACCTCGCTCGATTCCTGGAAATACTTCCTCTCCCTCCCCCCCTTTCAGATTTTCAGAACAACATCAGTGGGCAACCTGTGGGTTTGCAACACACTGAAAGTAGGAAGTTCAGAGTCTGTGTGTCACACTTCAGCTCCACAGAATTCAAGGCTGGGGCTGCTCCCAGAAAGGAAGCATATGCGGGACCCGGATGCAGACTGAGTCCACGGGCAAAAGGTACAGGGGACACCTCAGCTTCTTTGCTTCCTCACAGGGATCCATTGCAGCCGTGCTCATTGCTGATTCCTGGATGTGTCAAGATGCTGCAGCAGCCAGGGAGTGAGAACGGAGAGGGTCAGTGACCCACCTGCTTGGGGCAGCTGTGCCACCAATAGCTCTTGGCTCAGGTGAGGAAACTCTGCCTTCGCTGAGAGAAGGGTCCATGGCCAAGAGAGCTCGTCCCCAGGCAGACGAGGGCTCGTGAGCTCTGGAGCCACCAGTCCCAGTGGGGTCTCTCTCTGTGGTGAATGACACTTGTCCAGCTCCTGGCTCTTGCTAGAGGAAAAACATGTGGAGGAGAAGCCCAGAGCTGAAGGAACATGAAGACTCAGCCCAAGAAAGGGGAGACGGGTGGGGCAGGGTAGGATGCTGTGTCTCCAGAACCCGCATGGGAAGCAAGAGTGAAGGGGGGGGGTGTCTGTGTGTGTCCCTGTGTTCAGGGAAAAACATAGAGATGAAGGAACATGGAGAATGAAATCCCCTCTCTCAACAGCCAAGGATAGTTTCTTGCTGGAGAGGTTAATAAGGACAATGCCTGTGCTACTCAAATCGAGCACAGTTGCTTCTCAGTTCTCTGGGCATTCTGCAGTGCCCCAGAACGTGGGGACTTGGCTTTGCAATTAATCGATTCCAGAAGTAAATTTTCTTCACCAGCCTGTCTCCTACTACTGGTCTGACTGGGTGGCTTAATGGTCCCTTCTCACCGTGATAGATTTTGTGTCTCTCAGAAAGTCCCAACCTCCTCTATGTGATCATCAGAGCTTGGTTTCCACATTCCGCAAGTGACAAGGACCCCAGGCAGGCGCCCAGCGCAGAGCACAGAGAACAGGACTGAGTTGGCGGGCACAGACTGGCGTGGACATGCAGACGTTCTGCAGTGCTCTGCTGGCTCTGTGCTGGGCTTTCAGCAGGGGAGAATCACGAGGTGAGTTTCAGATTCATTTCCTCTTCTTTTGTCTTTCCTGCCCTTTTCTTCATCTTCCCTCCCCTCCTTCCAGCCCATTTACCTTCTCCATTCCCCCGCCCCTTCCTCTGCTCCCACCCTCCCTCTGCCATTCCAAATGAGTATCTTGGTGACTGGGCTGACAGGCAAGAGGGCAATTGGTTATATGAGTAGAAGGTAAGAGGATGAAAACATGGATGAATGGATGGAAAAGCAGGAGAGCATGAATGGACAAGTGGACTTTTAGGCAAATGTATGAACAAGGTGGATGGTGAGTAGATGGATGAACTGAGAGGGAAGTGCAGGGATAGACAGACTTAGCAGGTGAGTGGAGGGATAGAATGACAGGTAGATTCAGGTGGGAATGTAAGTAAACTTGGAGGAGTAGACAAATAAGAGGATGACTTTGTGTGAGGTGTGTGGGAGAGACAGAGGAGTGGCGGGGGGGGGGGGGGGAGTCCCCAGTGGCTGGACATGGTGTGACATGGCAGCTGGTGCACAGTTGCTGGTGACATCTCATGACATAGTGTAACCATCATCATAAAGCCGTTCAGGAGAAGGAATGGAGGCAGCTGGTACGGACACTCCCATTTGCAGAGCAGGTCATCTGACCCATGATGCTATGAGGATACTCGTGCACCCCCCATTAACCTAGCGGTCAATGAGGGATCTGTATGCTCCACCCCTCCCACAATGCCAGCCAGAACTGCAAAGCCCCAGCCTTCAGAAAGCAGGGGTGAGGTCCCAAAATATCCCGCGAGTGACTGGCACATGTGGAGAGTTGAAGGAGAATGCCTGTAGAATGCGGGGGAGGGGTTGATTTGTTGTTTGGTGTTGACGGGTTTAGGGCTCGTCCTTCAAGCTTCTCTTCCCAGCCAGGTATGTCAGATACTGACACTTTGTACCTGGAAAGTGAGAGTCCCAGGTACTAACCTGAAGGCAGATGCTGGGGCTGTCAGAAAAACACTCACTAGCCTGACCCTCCTGCTAGACTCACACCAGTTGGCCTGATGGTGAATGCTCAGGGATGATTCTCTCATTACCACAGCTCCTGGTAAGCAACCCTCTTGCCCAGCCTCTGGAGTGTGAGGATTGGGGAGGGGGAAGATTTTATTCCTGATTCGGGAGCTGATTGACATGCCAGGGACTCCCCAGAGAGTTCTCCAATTCACGTGGCATTGCCCCCACCCTTCTTACCATGGCCCCAGTGAGCACTGCCCAATGTTCCTTAATAGCCACCAGCTGCATTGTGCTTCCCTCCCCCTGTCAGAGAGCCTCCCGATGCAGAGCCTGCACTGCTACAACGACTACAAATCCCAGATCACTTGCACGTGGCAGGAGTGCAGAGCTGCACAGCGCTTCCTCAATGTGACTCTTCACCATAAGAACAGTATAAACAAGTAAGTGCCTGCCCCCTGCCCTGCCGCCGGCAATGAAGGCAAGAGAAGACCCAAAACTGCCTACAGGTCTGTGTGCCTAAGGCTGGGGCCACCGCCAGGGAAGGCCAGGGCGTGACAGCCTGGCTCCACCCAGCCACCGGGGAAGGCAGAGGCCGCAGCATGGTAACCTCTGCTCTCCCCTCCACCACTGGGGAGGGCCAGGCAGAGGCTGCAGCAGGGCAGCCCCAGCTCTCCACAGGGTTGCCTGGTAGGGCCAGGCTGGGAGTGGGTGGGGCTTGTCTCCAGGGGCAGAGCCTTGGGCAGATGGAGTAGGGCTGAGGCTTGCCTTCCCTAGCTGGGCTTTCACCCAACACCCACGGGTGGGAGTGAGAGGAAGGACAGGGAGCCGAGCCGACAGATTGAGGAGCACTTGGGCAGGACCTGATACAGGGTGGAACTTGGTGACTCTTTTGGAGCTACACTGGGAGGATGGGGAGATACAGGAGGTTGCATTATTCAGTTTGTTTTAATTACCTTTCCTATCCTTCTCCCTTATTTTTATGGGGATCCCAGGTGTGAGTGATGGCAGGGCCTGTTAAATCACAGCACCTAGAGTGGAGAAAGTCACATTACTGGGGTGACCTATTTATTTATGTTGAATATGGGACATCTGGTAAAAATGTTCCAATTCACGTGAGTTCAATGGCAATCAGTCTGAACTCTGCAGTAGCCTCCTACCCCAATATGCTATTAAAATTCTAGGGCCCAGCAGAAGAGGGGAGCTGGACCAGGGTGAGGGGAAGAGCTCAGGCATAGGCATATTATGACTTCTATTTGGGGTGCAGGAAACAGCAGGGCTCGAGCCAGCTCCATATGTCAGGTTAGGGAGGCCGTGCTACCTTTGTCCCCCAATTCACCTCAGCAGGCCACCCATCCTGTCTTGGTTGTGGTGGGAATGGTGGCTCAACCAAAAATTATAACTCAAGGTTGGAGGCAGGGGCTCAGCTCAAAAAGTTTGAAAACAGTTCAGGGTGCAGGGAGGGGGTATCTCAAGATGTACAAAGAGGTGCAGTTAAGGGCTGTGTGTGGGCTGGTGGGTAGCTAGAGGCTGTGTGCAGACGGGATAGCTCAGGGTATGTCTACACTACCCTCCTAGTTCGAACTAGGAGGGTAATGTAGGCATACCGCACTTGCAAACGAAGCCCGGGATTTGAATTTCATTCCACGAGGAGTAACGGTAGTTCGAACTAGGAAGCCTAGTTCGAACTACCTAGTTCGTGCCCCGTGTAGCCGCGCTGCACGGGGTTCGAACCAGCGGGGTTTTAAAAATGGCAGCGCCCGGCTTATGCAAATGAAGCCCGGGAAATTCAAATCCCGGGCTTCATTTGCAAGTGCGGTATGCCTACATTACCCTCCTAGTTCGAACTAGGAGGGTAGTGTAGACATACCCTGAGCTATCCCGTCTGCACACAGCCTCTAGCTACCCACCAGCCCACACACAGCCCTTAACTGCACCTCTTTGTACATCTTGAGATACCCCCTCCCTGCACCCTGAACTGTTTTCAAACTTTTTGAGCTGAGCCCCTGCCTCCAACCTTGAGTTATAATTTTTGGTTGAGCCACCATTCCCACCACAACCAAGACAGGATGGGTGGCCTGCTGAGGTGAATTGGGGGACAAAGGTAGCACGGCCTCCCTAACCTGACATATGGAGCTGGCTCGAGCCCTGCTGTTTCCTGCACCCCAAATAGAAGTCATAATATGCCTATGCCTGAGCTCTTCCCCTCACCCTGGTCCAGCTCCCCTCTTCTGCTGGGCCCTAGAATTTTAATAGCATATTGGGGTAGGAGGCTACTGCAGAGTTCAGACTGATTGCCATTGAACTCACGTGAATTGGAACATTTTTACCAGATGTCCCATATTCAACATAAATAAATAGGTCACCCCAGTAATGTGACTTTCTCCACTCTAGGTGCTGTGATTTAACAGGCCCTGCCATCACTCACACCTGGGATCCCCATAAAAATAAGGGAGAAGGATAGGAAAGGTAATTAAAACAAACTGAATAATGCAACCTCCTGTATCTCCCCATCCTCCCAGTGTAGCTCCAAAAGAGTCACCAAGTTCCACCCTGTATCAGGTCCTGCCCAAGTGCTCCTCAATCTGTCGGCTCGGCTCCCTGTCCTTCCTCTCACTCCCACCCGTGGGTGTTGGGTGAAAGCCCAGCTAGGGAAGGCAAGCCTCAGCCCTACTCCATCTGCCCAAGGCTCTGCCCCTGGAGACAAGCCCCACCCACTCCCAGCCTGGCCCTACCAGACACCGTGTGCCCAGGAGGGCTCTCCTGCAATCCCCTCCTCCCTGAGGGCTCTGCCATCCATGGACCTGGGTCCCACACCCCTGCAGCTCTCACCAGCTGTGTGAGAAAAGGGGGTTAGGAGCTGAGGGACAGTTCATCCCCCTGCACCAGCAGCAGCTGCAGGAGGAGAGGAGGGAACAGCAACGCTGCCTGTGCCATGGCACCCGCCAAAGCAGCTGCCCCGCGCTGCCAAGCTCTGGCTTCCCACCTGCAAGCTGGCCAACGGGCAGGGACAGAAGGTGTGGGTGTGGGCATGTGGGGCTGTCCATGGGCTGCCCTGCAGCTGCACTGCTGAGTGCTGGGACTGAGAATGCAGGGCAACATCCCGGTGCCCTCCAGCTCTGCCCATGAGCTCAGCAGGCTTCTGCCACAGGGAGTGCGCTGGGGATCCAGGATCCTGCCAGGCTCCTCCCAGCTTCAGCGGAGGGAGGGGCGATGATTGTGGATCAGGGTTTCAACCCCACAGCTCCCAGCTTCCGCGGCAAGAAAGTGGGGGAACGCCAAGCATGGGGCTTCAGCCCAGTGGTGAGCACTGGGGATCAAGGTTTCAGCCCCACAGCTCCTGCTTTAGCCCCAGGGGGAACGCCAGGGCTCAGGCTTTGGGTTTCAGCATCAGCACCCAGTGATCCCTCCCAAATGCCTTTCAGATTCACCCCCTACCCACACACATACGGCTGCCTCTCCTCCTACCTGACGTTGCCTCTTCCCACCCAGCCTAAGGCCACTTCATGTTCTCACAGGCCAGCCACTGCCTACCCACCAGTATCTAAGTCTACTACTGTATCTACGTCAGTTGCTCCCTACTCTCTTCTCTGCACATAGGACAAGCACACCAGTCCCATGTGAACGTCAGGAAGCCAAGGGATTGCTGGTTTGCCAGGACTCCTGTATCTGTTGGATCTGCCACAGGAAAAGCACCCTTTTTACAATTCAGGAAAAACACAATTTCACTTTCAAACCTGATCGGTTGCTGCAGGCCAAGCTGAACATCAGCCTCTTCCAGAATGATAAAGGCAAGACCCCACCGCTAGCTTCAACTCTTGGTTTTTTGAGCCTCTGAAATGAATACTTTTTCCTCCACACAGGTCTTCCCCCCTCCAATCCTAACCAAGAATCCTGATCCCAAGTCAGAGTGGGTTGGTCGAAATCAAACCCATTTAAATTTTAATCATGATACAAATCAGCAAGCAGCAAACCTTGCTTTAAATCCTCCATTTGAATTTTTGTTTTGTATTTGTACTTTCCAGTTATTTTTCTCAAAAGATGTTGATTTTCATTATTTGGTAACTATTAACATGTGTTGCTTTGCAACTAAACATAGCCTTTCAAAAGGTAACAGATGTAGTAATCTGTCAGCACTGAATATCTTTTAGGGCTAATCCCAGGTTAACCCTAGGGAACCTCTGCTTTTGTTTCTTAGCTCCATCCCTTGCCAGATTCAGAACAGCAGAGATGAAAAACCTTCCTTTCCACTATATTTATTTCCCTCCTCCAGCATGGAACGTAGTCTTCTGCTCCAATTTCTCTATAAGCGGACAGGGCAATCAGCACATTTTGTCCTACAATGGTTCACTAAATGTTGACAGTCCGCCTGCATAGGCAAGGGAAGCCACCCTTCTCATCTGAGCACACTAGTTCAGAGGAGATACCTTTATAATTATACCTTACAGCAGGGCAACTCAACTTTGGAAGCTCCAGGGGTCACAGTGATACTCACAGCACATGCTAAGGGCCGCAACTTAAGTGTGGTTGCATATCTATGCAAATATATGCAAATAGTTTCTTTCACATTGACGGGCATAAATACGAAGATTAAGGCAAGACTATACAACACGCAGGCCCCATTTCAGTCAGTTCTGCCAATATTAATAAAATGCAATACTTACCCAATTTCTACCCATGTGACAGCACTTTTAATGAGCAATGACAGTCCAGGAATTTAACTGCTAAAATGCATATCAAAAGAAGACCATTATATTGGCAACTTTTTTGTTTTGGCTCCCACCTGCAGGCCACGTGTTAAGCCCCGCATAAACCCAAACTGCACCACTGGCTGCAAATAAATGGGCCGTGGGCTGTGGACCACGTGCAGACTGGGAGAAGAAAACAAGCTGTCCTGCTTTTTCGACTCCAGTTGGTTTCTTAATGTGGAGTGAAATGAACTAGTTGAATAAAGAGGAAGGAAGAAAATATTTTCTAGGTACCAACACAAGAAGCTACTATTGTTAAAAGCTGCTTTTAGCACTGTAACAAATTCTAAATCCCGATTCCTAATTACTGAATTCCTCCAGTTCAGTGGTCTGCCAGTCTTTAAAACTTAGCAATAAATATGTGTTGGGAAGATTTGTTTCCTTCCTTATGGAGATAAGACTTAGAAAGGTCCTCTGCCCTCTCCCCATCCACTAATAACCACAACCCGTGTTGTCCCTTCCCATTTCCAGACAAGCTTCTCCTTCATCAGATGCACCGGATCAATGTCACCAAAGCAGGGAACTTCTTGCAGGCCTGGAAAACTGCTGGCGGGAGAAAGGAAAGTGACTGGTTGGACAATGCATCGGAGCTCAATGTAACCTACAAGGGGGGGTGTCCTGCAGGTCTCAGGAAGGTAATTCATGTCTTCGTAGGACTCTTTTTGCCATGAGCTCTCCACACTAAGCTGTCCACAGAACTACCACTCTTCTAGCCAGCCACTGAGACATCATTCCTTGAGCTCCACACAGCAACCAACTGCTGTTCCATTCTCCACGTCCTTTTATATAACCCTCCTGGTCCCAGATTGGCTGCTTCTCCTGCAGCCATTCTAGCCTGCCTGGAGGACCTCTCTATAGCCTTTTCTGGGTCAGAGTGTGGCAAGGCCACAAGCCTCCAGGCTGCAGCTGGCTGTTTCTTCACCTCACGCTATCTATGCATGCCAGTCTTGCCTGGTCATGGCCAGAGATCTAACAAGTCAAAAGCAGCCTGTGCGCTAAGAGAGCAATAGGTCCAGCACAAGCAGTATCTGACTCTATCTTACCACCAGATCACAGCTCTGGCTGTGCTTGGCTAAGCAGAATTATAAAAGCAAAGGGTCCTCCTTCTACTCCCTAACAAGTCTCTCTCTCTCTCCACCTCCCGGAACCCCTCACTATCTCTTCCCCACTGACAGAATTCTTCCTCCGTGTCAGTTACAAGTTCCTCCGACAGCTCAGGGAAATGTGATGCCCTTGTGCCAAGCAGCACCTCCGTTGCTCATGCGGGATCCAAGCCGAGCCAAAGCAGTGGTTGGCTTGGGCAGTCCAGCGAACGGAGCCCTGCTGTGTCCCAGAATTCCCAGGAAGGTAATTCTGGAGGCTGAGGGCCCAGGGGAAGGAGGGACGTGTTAGTTACTGGCTGCAGAGGGATATTGGACTTCACTGCCAGGGGATTTGGAGGCTGAGCTAATGACATTGGGAAATTTCTGGAATGTGACGAAAATTGTGCAGTTTCACTTGTATCCTCATGTAAAGTGCATATAGTGTCGATGACAGGTAGCAAAGCAGTAGCTGTGGAGGCCACAGTGCTCTGATTATAGCAAGACAACAGATACAATTCCTGTGTTAGGAAGACAAAAGACAGAACTATGTAGCACTTTAAAGACTAACAAGATGGTTTATTAGGTGATGAGCTTTCGTGGGCCAGACCCACTTCCTCAGATCAATTTGTGGAAGAAAATTGGCACAACTATATATACCAAAGTGATACAACCAAAAAAAGTGAACACATAAAATTGACAAATCAAATCAAATTATAGAACAGGGGTGCGGGGGTGAGTGGGGAAGGTTAGTGTCTGTGAGGTAATGACATTAGGGGTGATAACTGGAGGTTGATGGATTTCTGTATTCTTATCTGCTTTGTTTTAACTACCTAATCTTCAGGTGCTCACTGATTCCCAGTTCTGCCTTCCTGTCTTTCCCTTTGATATTTCCATACCCTCTGCTCCTTGTTTCCCGCCCCTCCCACCTCTTTTTCCCCACCCCCTCCCTCCCCTTTCCCCCTCCCTCCTATTTATTTGGGTCTGCACATCCTAAACTCAAAACTCCGGTCATCTGAAGAAGTGGGTTGTGCCCATGAAGGCTCATGACACCATCTACGTGTTTTGTTAGTCTATAAAGTGCTACCAGACTATTTGTTGGTTTTTAAGTTTATAGAAACCTGAGTGCTATACTGGCAGAGCAGCACAAACTTCTTCCACACACTTCACCTACCATTGCACCTCAGAGCAGGCAACTGAATGGGGCCCTCAGGTGTGTCAGCTGGGCTCAGCCTCTCAGCAATAAGGCCAATGGCTATGGTGGTTTTGGGGATGTGGGCTCAAGAGAGGTCAGTCTGCCAGTTTCTTGCGATGGGAGGATTGCATCCCCCGAATGAGTGGACCAGTCTAATGCTCTTGACTACCCTATAGAACCCTGAAATTAAAAGGATTCCCTTCCTCCCTCAATCCACAGTCAGTCCCTACTTCATCCACTGTCCTCCCACCCTGCCCCTCCCAGACGTACACTAACCACTGGCTCCTCACTAGGGGATGAGGCTCAGCCCAAGAACCTTCGCTGCCTCTTCAATGGGGTGGATCAGCTAACATGCAGCTGGGAAGTGAGGAGAGAGGTCGCCAGCTCTGTCTTGTTCACGCTCTTCTACAGAGCCACGCCGGCATCACAGTAAGTGACCTTCCCTTGGCAGCGTGTGTCTGTCCCCCTGTGTCTGACCATCCCTCCTGCTCGCTCAGGCCTCGCTGCTCTCTCCCCCAGGGAGACGGAATGCTCTCCAGTGCACGAGGAGGAATTGCCTCACAGCCCCTACCTCTTCCAGAGCTGTGAGATCAACGTCACCAACGGCAACAGCCTGAGCCAGTACCTCATAACTGTCCGGCCCAAGGAGGAGGAGAAACTGATTGCAGCCTACAAAAACAGTGAGACCCCATCTGCATACTCTTCCCCGGCTCACCTGGGGCTCTCTCATCTGGCCTAGGAAATGCTTGGGTTGGCAGAGGGGTGCAATGGTTAACAGAACAGCTAGAGTGTGATGTGTGGGGTGGGGTGGACAGGCGGCTGGTAAAGGAAGCTCCTAGCACTGGAGCTCCCCACCGGCACAGCACTGCTGTGAGGAGGTACAGAATGGGGGTGTGAGGGCAGATATGTCAGCCGGAGCCACAGGCTCTTAGCCATCCTTGGTGCTAATCTGCTGAGGCAGCAAGTTGTGCACCAGCGTATCTGTAGTCCTGCCAACGGCCCGCAGTGGGAAAGGGAAAGGGCAGGGAGATAGGCTGGGGGATGGATGCATGTTCCAAAGTGTTGTTTGTGTTCTAGTCAAGCCGCTTGCACCTGTCAACGTGACAGTGACAAAGATGAAAGACGAGGACTATGAGCTGAGGTGGACCAAACAGGCTCTAAGCTTTGACTATATAACCCAGAGATATGAATTCCAGTACTGGAAGACTGGAGACTCCGAGGAGGTAGGTGATGTTACTGCTGGGAGTCCAGGACTCCTGGAAGCTGGGTGGATGGGACAGAAAGTTCCTCACTTGTCTTCCATCTCTTCTCCTCCTCTCTTCCCAGAATGCACAGTGTGTAAGCATCAGCAATGACAAGCCTCCCATCATCTTCACCCTGCCAATGCTGGAGCCCTCAATACAGTATAAAGGAAAAATGCGAGCGAGGGTGCATGAATTATCATCGTACGAGGGGCCCTGGAGCGAGTGGAGTGAGGAGTGCACCTGGGAAACTGAGAGTGGTACATCCCAGTTGTGCTGCTGTGTTGGTGTTTGGAGGCGGGGGGGGGGCCTTTGGCTCAGGTTTCAGAAGAACTGGGGTTTCATACACTTCATTAAGTTAAAAGCCTGACCAGGGTTCCCTTGCTATCTGGCTACACATTTCAGTTCCCAGGTAAGAAAATAATTGATTTATCTGAATGGAATCACAGGGCTGCCATTCTCCACAGCAACAAGAAAGCAGTATGAGAATCAGGGGTTGGTAGTGAATGAACTATGGGAAGGGGAAACAGCCAATCTACAAGGAAGCTCTGAAATATGAAGTGCCAGCATTTTCAGAACGTCTTACAGGAGTTTTAGTTCCATGCTTCCCCGAAAAATGAGGGAGGAGGGTAAACTGTAATAGAGTTGCACTCATACCCACCTCCCATGTCAACTGCGTGTGCCTGGCATTCTGTTTATGGTGGCACTTGGGTGACCCAGCCCTCCATCCGAGTCACACACAGTGTATCTGCAAAATGTAGAAGTCCAACAGGTCCTCTCTCGATCCAAGCTGAACTACAGCGATGGTTTGTCTGCGCAGTCCAGTGAACGGAGCACTGCTGTGCCCTAGAGGTCCCAGAAAGATAATTCTTGTCTCTCAGTTTGTTCCCCCCCTGGAATAGACTAGTGCCCAAAGGGCTTCCTTCCTGGAGGCAACATCTTCATCCTTTTAGGGCCCTTCTGGTTCCAGACCTTTGGCTGGGTCACTTGAGTCAAATTCTCTCTTTCTCTGGGATATCTCAAGATTCGGGCCACTTCCACCTGTGGGGATAGGAAGGGATCCAGTCCCACCCTCTACTCTTGGTCCCTGCCCTGGGACCTTGTAGGTGGCAACTGTCTGCTATGTCCATTCTGCTGCTGGGCTAATTCCCTGGGCCATTTCCACACACTCTGTATCATCTTTGCTCTTACCTCAGGGCTCTGTCTTTTTTGCCATGAGCTCTCCACACTAAGCTGTCCACAGAACTACCACTCTTCTAGCCAGCCACCCAGGCTTCACTCCACACAGCAGCTAATTATTGTTGTAGTATTAAGCTCTTTTTATATAGCCCTACTTGCCCTGTATTGGCTGCTTCTCCTGCAGCCACTCTAGTCTGCTTGGAGGACCTCTCTACTGCCCCTTTTCTGGGGAGAGGTGTGACATGATCATATGCCTACCCAGTATGGGGCCTCAGGGCCTAGACGACCCCATCACACCTATACATTGTATTTCTGCACTGCAGCCTTTGAGGAGTTCAGCTTACTTTAAAAGGAACCAGGAAGATTGGGTCCCACCGGATTTGGTTAGTCTGAACATGGGACTGGAGGCTCGTTAGAGAAATTCAGGGATCTAAGTGGAGGGCTAAAGAAGGGAAGAAATGATCCATGTGGGAAGATATTAAGGGAAGAAAGAGATCAATCAGTGGAGCTAGCTGAATTGCTCAATCTGAACTTTTTCATGTCTGATGGTAAGCAAACCTGTTGGAACCTCCAGAGGTTTCTCTGGTCATTCAGAGAAGCATTCTGTCTTGGGTGTGATGTTCAACATTTGGTATTCAGTCTGGATAACTGAGTGTTATGGCGCTGTTCCTGGTGTCTGATTGGGTTCCCAAACCAGGACAAACTGGAGCTATAGCCTTAATTGTGAATTTTCAGGCTCTCAAATGTTTGTGTTTCTTGTAAATTTACACTTAACCGCAAGTCTCCTAGCATGTCTAATGACTGGTATGTTTTTTTCTTTTTTGTTGATATCTGCAATGTTTTTGTAAAGATATTTCACCCTGAAGTTCTCTCAGTCTGAACTTAACTTTAACAAAGTATTTGATGTGGTGATTTCTTCAGGGGTTTTTTTTTTTTGTTTGTTTTTTTAATATTCCTAGCTTGGGACTAAAAAAAGTAGGGGCTTGTGGATCATATCTCCTTTGGGGCTGACCTAATGAAATCTATAGAGGGAAACGCCAGTGCTACATGACCTCCTGGGAGACCCTAAATTTGAAATTGTGAATGTTTCTTGAGAACATATGAGGTCTATGGGCATATGAGCACTCAACTAAATGCAAGCCAAGCACCAGATATTTGTACACACATAAATTGTTTGTCCAGAAGTTCATGGGAAACCCAACAAAAAGAGCCCAGACCAGATCAAACCATGAGTTGAATTTAGCAAATGTGTTCACAGATTCATTGTCCTGAGGTCACATTGGCTGCGTCTAGACTGGCAAGTTTTTCCGCAAGAGCAGCTGCTTTTGTGGAAAAATTTGCCAGCTGTCTACACTGACTGCTTGAATTTCTGCAAGAACACTGACTTCCTTCTGTCTGAAATCAGTGCTTCTTGCGGAAATACTGTGCTGCTCCCATTCGGGCAAAAGTCCTTTTGCGCAAAGCTTTTGTGCAAAAGGGCCAGTGTAGACAGCTCAGATTTGTTTTGCACAAAAAAGCCGCGATCGAGAAAATGGCGATCGGGGCTTTTTTGCGCAAAAGCACGTCTAGATTGGCACGGATGCTTTTCCGCAAAAAGTGCTTTTGTGGAAAAGCGTCCGTGCCAATCTAGACGCTCTTTTCTGCAAATGCTCTTAACGGAAAACTTTTCCATTAAAAGCATTTGCGGAAAATCATGCCAGTCTAGACGTAGCCATCTAGTCTATCCCACAAGAGAAACTATTCCATGATCTTAACAGACCTCAGTCAGGAGGACGTGTGATGTGATAGGTAGCCTACATTTTCCTGAGCTCAATATTATCCCTCAAGAGTATCCAGAACAAAAGGGTCCATATTGAATTAAGCAATTTCCGGTTGTTCTCATACTCTCTCTCTCTCTCTCTCTCTTATTTATCTGCTCAGCCTTGTCACCACTGTTACTCCCACTGTTGGTTCCAGTCTTCACCATCATGCTGATCACATTTACCTGGTGGGGCTGTAGTGGCCTACTGCGGTAAGTCTGCGCTGGGAGTGGGAGATACATTGGTAGAGCGAGTGCAGGGAGGGACAGAGAACAGGTGCTGCATGGGCATATGTCTATCCTTGATCTAGGACTTTGTTCAGCCGTGAATATGTCTGGGGCGCAGAGCAGAGCTCTCTCCATGTCGAGCTGCATTTTAAGTATAGGGCTTTCGGGACCTCTGTGTTGACAAGAGGCTCAGGGTAAGGCTGTGTCTGGTGACCCTGCAAACTCTGTCTTGTTTTTGCAGTAAGAAGAAAAAGTGGGAAGAAAAGATTCCAAATCCTAGCAAGAGTCAGGTGATCCAGAGCTACCTCCAGGTAAGGAGGAACTGACCCCACCCTGCCCAGGCTGGCTCAAGGGCAGTGGAAGCTCTGTATGGACCAAAGAAAGGGGGCGTACTGCCCTGGGGTTTATTGAGGAATGTGTGGCTGCTCACCCATGTGAGCTCTGTACAATCTGATCAAACCACTGCTCCCCCAACAGGGATGGAAGACCAGTGTGGGGCAAAGCAGAAACAGTGGATAGAATCATTGGGCTCTCACATCTCTCATCCTCTCCGAGTGGCCAAAATCTGATGCTCCCTACAATGTGTCTGGTCAGGCAGGCAGCATCCTGCATAGGAAAATTACTTCCTAGGCCTTCATGCATAATGTAACTTGCAATACAACCCATGCTGTTGTGAGCCATGTCACCAGCTACCTCTTTATAAAGTCACAGCCAGTGTTCCCTGTAAGATGAGCACTTGGCCAGCCACCCAGGAGAGATTCACATGCGGCCCAGCTGATTAGCAGAGTGCCTACAGCATGTGTTTCTACTGGTGGTGCATGTCTACACATGCCTCAGTGCACATAAAAATATTTATTCCACACAAGGATGGAAAAAATTAGAGGGAACATTGGTCACAGCCATCTGCCTTTCTGTAGCAGGGAGGTTTCCTGTAGAGTGTGAGCAAATCTATTTCTTCTCCCTCTCCCCTCAACATGACTAGCTGTTCCATTTATTTATATGGGTAAGGGGAAAAGGAGTCACCACTCAGTCTGCCCTGTCCCTTTAGTAACAGTCTTCCAGGGCAAGCTCCCACCACGTGCATTTCTATTCCAGGGTCAGTCAGAGGGTTTCATTTGCAGGAGCACAGGCCAGTCACAGTGTTTGATTTACTCCCCTGTTGTAGCCCCAAAGGGCTGGGCCCGGTGATGGCAGGAGGCTGAATCGTGATCCTTCCCAGCCTCGGTCCAGTTGCACTATGGTGAGCACATTTAACCAACTTGCAGGATGGAGGTACCTACCTAAGTCCCTCCCCAGGAGACGCAATCCCTCCCCAAAGTATCTTGCAGTAGCAGTGCTCCTATTCCCAAAGAGGTCAGCCACATCTATGCCAGGTGCTTCCATGGCCCCCATCAGCACAGTACTGGGTGTCTCACAACCCTGCGTGCGTTTCTCTTTGCAGTGCTCTTGTGAGGCAGGGCAGCACTATCGCCCCATTTCACAGATTCAGAACTGTGGCAAGGAGGGGAAAGGACTTGCCCAAGGACACGCACACAGAGGAACAGGAACCTAAAGTTAGGGCTTCCACACCGGGCACTAGACACTATTCCCCCCTCTCCCCAGTTTGTTAAATCTGTCACTGTTTCTGTCCTGGAGCTGCTTGACCCACCTCCACTGGCCTTCTCGGAAGCTTTTCTGTCTCAGCCAAACCCTCTCTGCTGGGAAGAGACCAGAATTGTTGTGCTCCAAGGGAAGCGCCTCCCCTTGCCTGATACAAGGCACATTTCCATTCCCTTTGTAATGCTCCACAGCAGCCTTTTAGAGCTTTGCTCCCCACCTGGCAGATCCCTCCATTACACCATTCCTGGAGGCTTGGCTGTATCAAGTAGCCACCCCAGCACACCCACTTCTGGCTGGCTGGGGCAGCTCAGCAACTTTTGCCTTAGCTTTCTGCTACTTTTCCCAGCCATAAGAGTACCCTGGACCTCTAGTCAGACCCTGGACCGGGTCCTGCCCCTTCTGGGCAACAGCGGCCTTTACCAAACTCCAACAGGAGTGTAAACAAAACAAAACCCTCAGCCTGGTGGGGCTCAGCTGGCCACCTCATCCTCACAGCTTGCCTCATATGCCCTTCTTATCCCCACAGCTTGTCTCTGGGCCCTGTGCTTTCTACAGCCCCACTGTCCAGGGCCTGCATGCTCCTCCCCTTCCTCAGGGCCTCAGAGAGGCTAGTGCTTGTCAGGCTCCTTTTCCCCCAGTCAGGCTTCCCCATTCAGCCCTGGAGTAGCCTGTCTTCCGCCTCCCCCATCTCAGCCTCTTCTCAGGCAACTTCCCCTCCTCTCCCTTGGGTCTCCTTCCCTCAACTAAATTCACCCAGCTCTTTGTGGCCACTCCTGCTCCACACCTGGGCTTTATTTCTATTGAGGCCTGACCTATCTGCCAGGTTCAAGCAGGCAGATTAATTAGCCTCTCAAGCCTTTACTCTTTACAGCACCTGGAGAATCACTTGCCCATTGCATTGTCCATCAGAGACCCTGCCTGTGAGTCTTTGTATCCTATGTATCTTTACCACAGTGTTTTACCTCACACGTGTGCAATCTGAACTGCACCTACTACTGTGTTGCTCATTCCCTTGGTAGGTTCATATCCATCTGCAGATGCCCTCATGTCTGTCTGGTGCCCACTGAAACCATCTTGTGCCCCGTTCTCTCTCCAAATCCATAACCCACACACCTGCCAGGGCAGGCACCAGGCCAGCTCTGTGGTGAGCTTCTTTGTGCCCTGAGGAGCAGCTATTCCCAATGCTCCTTGTTCCCAGTTCCGTCACTGGTTTCCATTCCACAGTCGGACTCTCTTCCTTACCCCGTGGTTTTAAGCATCTGTCATGTTTGATGGGGTGTCCAATCAAAGGTGTGGGGTGTCATGTTTGATGGGGTGTCCAATCAAAGGTGCTTGGAAATCCCAGGAAATGGGGTGTCCCTGGTCAGCCTGGGGGAGAGGGAAGTGCAGAGCTCTCATGCCATCCACACAGGCTGATGTCTTGGGCCCTGTCCCATTCTGTGTCGTTCCCATTATCTCCCAGGGCAGGGCTGCCATTTCGCACAGTGGCTGATTTGCTCCCCGGATGCACCTGCCCACACTGTTCCCGTGAGCTTCTCGGGCAGAACTTGCTCCCACATGTCCAGCACTGCCTGACACAGGGTGGAGTTACATGAGACAGACCTACAGTGGGGAAATGAAAGGCAGGTAGAGAATGAAATAAAACCCACCACCAGTCTCCAGGAGCAATGGTGCCCCCAGGAGGGGTTAAAGAGTTACTACAAACTGTGGTATCCCTACTGCGGGACTCCTGGCTCCCCATTGCCCTCAGAGAATCACCTTCTCTCTGCCGAGAGTGCTGTTATCGGCCCTTGTCCCTCCTCAGAAAGGACTGCTCGGGATGGGGGGTGTTGGCAAGAAGAGCCCTTCCGAGAAGACAGACCAGGCTAGCAGCATCCAAGTGCTGGAAGGGTGAGTGGTTGGTGCACAGCTCGTTGGTGTGACTCTCCGAGACATTATGTGGTGATGGGGGAATCTCAGTTCCTGTGGTGGCTGATCCCTGAGGGGATGAGGGCAAATGTAACTGGCATAATTGATAAACCTTGGCACATCCCCCCCCACCACATGCCCATCTGGAAATATCCATGGATGGACTTGCAGCCCCTCGTCTCCTTGGCTGGAAATACCAGTTCCAAACCCTGCCCCTTCCTCCCTGACCTCTGGAAATGGGTTTATCTCAATGTCCTTGATTTCCCAATCTGGAAATGCAGGTGAATAAGCACCCTCAGCACACATGCATTTAGCCCCCCATCTCCCTGTCATCTGGCAGTGAGGCCCATGCCACCCCTGTGGCCATTTCTGGCTCTGGCAGCTTACAAGAGCCGGGGGGCAGCTGCAGTAGGGCAAAGGATAATTCCCCCATTGCAGGAGAAATGTGGAGCCAATGTAAACGTACCTTACAGTGTGTCAAGGTGGATGCCTGCCCAAACACCACTGGTAATTTTTGCAAAGTTCAGGCCATTGTTTGTATTTGTTTGAGCTACCCTCCCCCGTTGCCTGCCTCCTCCCTTCACCAGCTTCTACCCTCAGTGGCTGTAAGCTCCTTGGGGGCAGGGACCACGTCTTTTTATATTCTCAGCCAAGTGCCATGAAAAGTCTGGTGCTATATAAGTGTGGGGGGAAGGGCAGGAGGGAGGTCAGCAAGGTCTCTGAAGGGAGATGTGCTACTTGGGCTCCCTATGCTCCAGAAACCTAGAAACTGCGAGACTGAGTCCCACCAAGAGTACATCTAGTCCAGTATCCTGCCAAGTGCCTGTTGCTTCAGAGGGAGGTGCAAGAACTCTGCCATAGGCACTTATGGGATAATCTGCCCTCAGGGAAAGTTTCCTGCTAATCCCAGGAGACCTTTCTCCAAGGGGGCCCTCAGCTCTACTCACTGTCTGTGTGGTGCTCTCTGCTGGGTGACTCCTCTGTCTCCTCTTGTTCTCCACCCCACCCCCTTGCAGATTGATGAAGGTCAGCTCAGCAGAGCTCCCTGGAGCCATGGATGAGAGGATGAAGTGCTTCCTCAGTGCGCTGGACTCAGAGAACCCGTATCAAACACTGGAAACGGCAGCTCCTGCTCCACCTCCCTCAGCCCCGGCTGGCTGCCGTTCGAGTCAGGCCACCAGTCAGCTAGTGATGCCCGCCATGCTCCCCTGCAGGAGCAGTGCTGAGATCCCTGCGTCTCAGGCCCCCATGTCCTGCTTTGACTTCAATGGTCCCTACTTGCACCTCCCCCACGAGTGTTCCCTGCCTGACATTCCTCAGCACTCGGACGCTGCTCCATTCCTCAGCAGGGGGAGGCCGGTGTCGCTGGAGTATGTGTCCCTGCCCGAGGGGTCCAATTCCCAGACCCCGCTAGCAGGGGAGGCGAGAGGAGCAGCTCAGCTCCGCCCCGTCTCGCGGCCTGCTCAGGAAGAGATAAAGCAGCCACCTGCTGGAGGGCAAGAAGGGCCACAAGGCCAGTGCAAGGGGACTGGGGAAGCGGTGCAAGGGGACGCCGAAGGTCAGAGGTCACTGACTGCTGCCACCCCAAACAACTCCTGTCAGAAATGGCCAATGGGATACGTCACCACAGAAGGTCTGTCACTGATGCCAGCAAGTGACTCTGCTCATCTCTCCCCTGCACAGGCCCCGCTGGGGGGGTGCTCAGAGATGTTGGAGTGTTGATGTCCAGCCCATGCCTGCCCCATGCTACAGAGCACACCCCTAGCCCTGCGCTAGCTCCTGAGAAACCTGGTGACTTTGTCCCAGTTCCCTCTCCAGCATAAGCTTCTCCCTTAGGAGCACATCAGGAAGCATTTGGGAGTTGTATGATGTCCCCCGAGGCACCCCAAGATACTCTGTGGCACCCCAGAATCCATCGTTGTTTCCTCCCCCATTCTGTCATACTTCTACTGCAGAGCCTGGGCAAGAGAGTAACATGCCCATGTTCCACCCCGATGGCACTGGGCCAGTTTTTCTACACTAGATGGAGGAATGCTGCTTCTCTCCTAGCCTCAAACCCTGTGCAGCCCATTCCACTCATCCAAACTCTGAAGTGTGATGCTTACTTCAGATGGCCACTATGGGAAGAACAAGAATCAGCTGTCAGGGCCAGGGAACTCTGCTAGCTCCATGAGAGTACTGGTGAAAACAATAGAGCAGGTGACTGGATGAGAATTCCATCATTCAAAGCATGTCACCTCTATTGCTTCCCCCAGTTCCCCACCTCCCATACACAGGAAACAAAAATTGCAGTTCTGCTTTCCAGCCTGTTGCCCTGCCAAAGGGGGTGGAAGACATTGATCATCACCACGTCCTCTTCAGCTGTATTAGTATATTTGGATACCGAAAGCAGGAAATACACCAGCCTTGGAGTGATCTGCCATTACCGTGTTAATCTTGCTATGGTTCTAGGACAGAACATAATGTTGAGTTGAATAAAAATTTCCTGTCATGGATGATCAAAGTTCATGTCACGGATAAGATGATGACACGAGCCCCTGGAATGAAATGTCTCCCATTCTTAAAACAGATCTAGCTTATTTAGAGATATAAATGTCATCCGGGACTCGGGAGATCCGGTATTGGAAGGGTGTAGGTATGAAAGAGGGACTGAAATTGTGGAGAATAGGACTTTGACATTACACTCCATAGTCTTTATGAAATACTAGCCAATTAGCCTGTCATAAGATGAGATTTTCAGGTCTTCTCTCCTGAGCTCTCTCGCTCTGTCTCTCTCTCTCTATCTCTCCTCCTACTGCCTTCCCCTCTCTCTCTCAGCTCTCCTCCATCTCCTGCCTCTCTCTTCTTCACTCTCTTTTTCTTCTCCCCCTCTTGCCTCTCACTCTCTCTCTGCTCATCTCTGTCTCCATCGAGGATGCACGCTCATGCAGGCCCCGCCCCCTGGGTGTGTACGTCACCGCCCCGCCCCCCTTCGCCTCCCACCAAGGCGCTCTGCTGACTTCTGCGCCACTTAGCAGGGCTGCCGCGTGGG